AGATACTGAAGTGATACATACGAAGCTATTAAAAAAGCTGATCAGAGAAATAATTAACCTCCAATGATTTAAAAAATTGGGACCAAAGGGCAAATAATGTAGCCTCTGATCTCAAAAACAAAAGGGCTTTTATCAATATGACGCCTTATCTGTATATATTTGTACACAATTACTATAACTATAAGCAATTGACTATTTTGTAAAAATTTATAATGTCAACGTCAAGGCTACTCAGAATTTTTGTCATCCCCTACTACATACTACACCCCTGAAGGCAATCTTTCTACATAACCAAATTTCACTGAATTAAAAGTTATTTTTCAATACAATTGTGATTCTATTCATCATTGTTGCCGACAAAAACATGAAAAAGATGTAACCCCGAAAAAACCTTACATGCACATTGTCACTTTGTAAGGCAGATGGTGGCAAGTCACACATTCCTCTCTCTCTAATGAAGGTTGCAGTTTTGTTTTAAATGAGAACAATACATACACAAAAGAAGCGATGTTAGGCTTCATGGCAAAAACCCACTTTCTGAAATTCTTGAACAGTAGAAATGATCAAACAACGAGCAAACGTAGCAACACAAAGGTCACACTAGTTTAGCAGTTGTGGTTTTAGTTTTACATGAGCAACAAAAAAAAATTTGCAAGTACAGGTAAGTCAAACTAGTCGTGTGTGTTCCAACCTTTTTTTTCTTTTTCAGCTTTTTCTTTTTGGTGGGTTTAGCCATTGTAATAAAGCCCTTACTTCAAACACCTTCTGTCTTCAATGGAAAAAAAAAAACAAACAAACAAACAAACAAACAAACAAACAAACAAACAAACAAAGCACAGAAAACAGACTCTCTACTGACAAGTAAAGGGACCTCTGCACTTTCCAAGTCCACTACACAGTTTTGACCCCTTCCTGATCTAGGGAATACCAAGCAAATTCAAGGTACTAGAGTTTTTGGTACACTTCCAAAAAACAATTTTTAACTGACTGATCCCTCTGCAAACTTCCCCAGCAGGAGACACACAGGGGCATGCGCTGAGACGTGTTTGTTAAAATAATAACAGTTTTCCAAATGTATGTACATCGATTTCCTAAAAGATAAAAGAATTTTATCAAGAACTGATCCAGCGATACACTGCTAAAGAGTTCAACATACTCTCACTCACAGGCTACAAGAGATCCCTCAGGACTTTCAAAAAACAGTATTGGGGGTTCCAATAAACAATGCTACATCTTTTTGGAGTGCTCATCCAGGAAAAAGAAGACTGATCAGGGCATTTAAACTCATGAGAAAGCCTTTTCACAACCCAATGAAAATACAAAAATCTTCAATTTTAAGGTATACACTTTTAATTTTAATTTTTCTTTTTAAGTGTCTATTTTGTGTAACTGTCTCAAAAGACTACCTGAAGATAAAGCGGTACTTGCATTTCATAATGATGACCTAATAATAAGACTTGGGCTGAGTGTTAGAAAAGCATTAGTTCATCACTCCATGAAAGAAAGGGAACACTCGAATGATCTGTTTGATCATGAGGAAGGTCTTTTACAAGACAAAATCATTACAGAACACATTAACAATACTAACAATACAATAGAAAGCAATGATCCTGGGTCAAATGATCACTATGTACACAACTCGTGATGGTCAAAAGCACTTGACATAGCCCAATGAACACATATCTGCACACACTTATCACAGGCTTTAGTCTTCAGTGTACACATCAGCATAGTCGGGAAAAAAGGTGAAGATAAAAATAAATGTAAATAAATAGATTTATATTAACCAAGCTTTCTGTTCTAAATCATCATTTCTCATGAAAAGGGAGAAGGAGGAGTGGGATGCATTTAAAAATCTCCATAGTATTCTTATACATCGTTATCAACACACTTTAGATAATTCCACAGGCTAGCTGCTTGGACTCTGACTCAGACAGCCAAATCAGGTTGTGAGGGACACATCCCAGGAGGATGAAACAAATACTAAATAAGACACCCCTTGAGGGGATCGAACCCATATCACCTGTGTGCAAAGATCAGATCAGATCAGACCCAACCACGACAATTTTAATCCCAGTGACAACCTATAAAAGTAAATTTTCAGGGATATCATCTTCCTAAAATAAACAATGCAAAACTGTGTAACATGCTCGCTTGACCACCCACCAAAAAAGGGGACAAAACCACGCTCTGACACCTCTCATTGATATTCAAAATATATTCTTTAGTCTTATACCCATTCTGATGAAAGGGTCACCCTTGGGCACAACAACACTCTTGACTGGCCAGTACGTCATAATACTAATAAACCAACATTATCCCTCTTCGCATCAGTTCAGAAATCATCAGGCAAACTAAGACAGGAACATTTTATTCCTGTCCATACAAAAACACTTAAGTCAGAGAACTTTCTATACTTCAACAGTATCTAACTACTTTGCGAGATGGGGAACATTAAAATAAATCTTTGATAGTCAATGGCCCACACAAAGACGGTTTCAACAAACTGTTAAATTTAATAGCAAAATAAAGACAAAACATAAACAATTTGGTTCTAGTAAAGACTACATGGGGTGAAAGTAAATATAAACTTTGGTTAACATGGCACACGCATCAAAAGCAAACAGGTAAGTAAGATAGGATATCACCCATACTCACAGGAGTCAGGACACCTACAGCTCTGGCCAAGACACAAGTCTCCACAGAACACATCTCTCTCCATAGATACTTTAAAAATCAAGTGCATTCTTTTTATTTCTTACTTTAATAGAAGAAAAATGATAGTACAATCTACACACTTGTACAGCAACCTTCACTTCAAGGCCTGGGCGGGGGGGGTGTGGGGGTGGGGTGGAGGGGGGGGTGTGGGGGTGGGGTGGAGGGGGGGGTGTAACTGTAAGCATGTGTGTGTAGGTGTGTGTGTAACTGTAAGCATGTGTGTGTAGGTGTGTGTGTAACTGTAAGCATGTGTGTGTAGGTGTGTGTGTAACTGTAAGCATGTGTGTGTAGGTGTGTGTGTGTTTGCTTGCCTCACAAGTGGGCACAACCTGCACACCAACAACAACAACAAATCGTCATCATAGTAAGTGCATTGGAAAAATGGAAAAACTTGTACAGGTTGACTTGGAATGTTCGTCAATACAGCTATACACAGATATACGCATGTTTAGAAGAGGAACAAGAAAATAAACACTGTTCTGTAAAATCTAAATACATTACTGAACTATTCACAACCATAAAACTACATTTTATGAAAACGTTTGGTAAAAATATTTCCTTTCCATGTTTTAGTAGCAATATGGAATGTGAGAAAACCTTCAAATAGACACAACGCTCAGACATCAACACACCACATATCACAACTTATTGGGGTTCTTTGTACCAGTAAACACCCTGCTAGACACTGATAGAAGGTCATTCCGAACACAGGCACCCCAGAGAAAATCATCACAGAATCAATGTAAAAAAATGTGCTTGTAAGTGTTTTACGCCCCATAAAAACTATTTAGATTATTCAGGAGGCGAGCTGCTTCAACACTGTACTGTAAGGACCAAACAGGGCCAAGAGGGATACAAAAACCCAGCAGACAGACAGGGATACTCGAGAAAGAAACCTCCTTAGAGGGGAAATCAAACTCACATCTTCAGTGTGCCATAGAGGAGAGCCTAACCGCAACATCATAGATATCGGTAGAATGAATGCTTTCCGGCCAAAGGGAGAACTCTCATAAATCTACATGAAGAACTCAATCTAAGCCAACTCCATGTAATAGGACACAAAAGCCTAACATCAAACGACATTATTTTTTAATATACCAAAATGACCTAGCTACAGAATGCCTTAAAACAGTCACTCTGACGGTTTGAGGAGAGTTGATCTGGTCCAATTCATACCATACTTGGTATACCAAAAAAGCTTCAGTAACATTTTCTATTTAAATTTATGATGAGTAAATTTTTCAAAGGAATCTAGCAGGCTCAGCCCCTTTTGCATGGACGGAGGAAGAGGGGTCACTGAACATACTATGGCCACCTAGGATTGTTGAAAACACTGAGGCGACTGATTGCAGATGTTCAACGCACCCATTGATGCCTGCAAGGAGGCAAAAGGGGAGTCCTGATATACACAACTCCAGATGAAAATGAACTACTGCTTTGGGTTTTTCCCTTTTTCATGCTCTGTCTGAAGACTGGATGGTATGAATGCTTCACTAACACAGCACAAAAAACTGTAGAAGTTTTAGTCCTCAACTGAAAGCCTGTTGAGATCACTGAGCTTGACATTTCTCCGGAACTGGACAAAAAACCTTGCAACACATACACAACAATCACTTGCTCACAACCACAGGTAAGCTCACAGAATGTAAAAGATACCGGTAACCATTTCAGAATTCTGGGTAAACTCAAACCATATCAGTCTCAACTGGTGCCATGGTTCTTTTTAGTGTAAAAACAAGTACAAAGTAATAAATAAATAAATCACATTGAACGATTTTAACAACTTCCCACATAAAATAAAATATAATATGAACACAACACAACTCTGACAACCATTGAATGACATACTTGATTAAGTACAATCTCTCTGAAATCTGGCAAGTCGCCATGGAATGTGTCGAAACTAAGACAGGAGATAACAACATTTGACCACCATGTGTCAACAACACAGAATGAAAAAATAAACTCATGTTATCTATTCACAGAAAGCTGAGAATATATCCTCAGCAATGAACAATCTTTCACTGGAATTTCTTTCAACCAGCCTTGTCTTTTAAACATATTTAAACACGGCATGAAAAACCTGTCATTTTACTTCTTAAACACAAATAAAGAATTCCCTTTTACAGAGACAAGACAAAAGAAATTCCTGACAAAGAAGACATAATTTTAACTCTTGATGAGGAGAAAAAATAGAGACTAATATTAATATATTGAACCTGTAAGAATAAAAAAGCTGTATACTAATGCTTACAGTGGATGCTTTTCATGTTTTTCTTTACTTTGCAACTAAAGCAAAAGGGCTGGTTCCTGAGAAGCATTGGAATTCTCAGCACTCTTTAAAGTTTACCAACACTGAACAAAAACAACAGGGTAGTATATATGACGGCATCATATTCTGTTGAAGACGGGACACAATATGAGGTCAAAACAATGATGGAGCAGGCTGCTCAAGCAGAGCACCCACAATACCACAACCACAGGGTTCTCAGTCAGAAAATGAAATAACCTGCGCATCAGTCAAACACAAAGCATTCAGAATAAGTGACATGGAGAACTCTAGTTTGTCAAAACACTCTAGTTACAGCTCGCAGTAACCAGGCAGGACGGCCCACACGAGTGTCACTGAAGGTTGAGTGAGAGTCCTAAGGCAAGCAAATGGGGAGAACAGAAGGGGGGAGGGGGGAGGGGGGGGTGTCGATGATGGTAACAGTGGCGGCAGATATGTTGTAGGATACATCAGCGACATGTTTTCCATTTCACACGTTTGTCTACATATGAACAAAAGCTTTTTCCCAACCAGCAGGATATACAAAGCACATCTCAAGTGACCATCCTCTTACGAAATGTGACCAATAAGGAGAAGAAGATGTGGCCGAGGGGTGGGGGTGTTAAAAGGTTTATTGTGAAAAAAAAGGAGGGAGGGAATAAATTGTACGCCGCAAATTTTAAAAAACAAGTGAACCTGGCAAGAAATAAAAAAATGTTTGAGTAGGTGTGCCATCGAGATCTAGTAACATTTCCGCAACTAACAGGATAATAAACAAACAAGAGACAGCGACGATGCTGTAAATAAAAAGATGGACATGGATATGTCACACAAGACACCATGAAGGTACCCCACTGTACACTTCTGGAATCTTGAGTTTCTCGAAAGGTCGCATCTTTAATTGAGACACACTTGTCCCTGAACTAAAGTGTCGAGAGGAAACCAAAGACAAAACAATAAAACACAACACAAAACGGTTTTCATTTCCATTTAAAGCAATGACAAAGTTACCCTATACTAAAGTACTCGGGTGTTTATAACTATTTTTAGCACAGAATTGAAGCACAACTCTGGAATTTCTCTAACAAATATATCAAGTAAAAAATCTTTAGTTTTCGAATTGTATACATCGAAAAAAATCTTCTGGTCTTGTTCACACAAAAAGTACCAAGATCTCATAGTAAACAATGAACGTGTATCACAAAACCTGGAATGTCTTCCAAAATCTTTAACAACTTTCAACAATCCGTCAAAGGTAAATGATATAACCAAAGGAATAATTATACTACTGTATGGAAAAATTGAAAGGCAAATGAACAGATTACAACGGCAAGCGACAGTTTTCCCACCAAAAGAGTGCCAAAATCAACAAGAGAAAATGATGGTAATGCTTGGGGTACTTCAGTCAAACAGGGATAAAACTGCAAGGGATCTGTTTTGACAGTGTTCATTTACAATATGATGACAAGATTTTTTTAAATTCTTTTTTTTTTTGATGATCTTCAATTTACGAGTTATGATTCATTAAGAGCACAAAAAAGTCACCTCCAGTACAGCCCAAAAAGGAACTTTTTTTTTTGGGGGGGCAGACAAACTTGATTGTCAACAACACCAAAACAAAAGAAAAGGAAACTTTGTAAAATAAATGACATAACAAACTATGCCACAACAGCTCTGTCATCCAATGCTTTCTGAAAAATCAATTTCCAGGTCAAAGAACTTCCTAAAATATGTAAACCAACAGGTCTGCTTATTTTTCTTCTTTTTTTCCCCCTCTCTTCCAAAGCAGAACACAACACTCATTATGCAACACTTTACTTTTCCAAAGCAGTTCCTCCCAAGCCTGACATATAAAACAAACATCAAAATGTATTTTCTCACATGTATACAGCAGAAAAATCTGGCCACATTACGGAGGCATTTACTTAGAGATGAGTTGAGCATTCAATGCATAGAAGTGTCGATAAAGGCTACAATGTTGATGAACAAAACATTAACCAGTTTGACAGGAGGATAACAAGAGTACGAAATGACACTCTCTCCAAAAACAATAGCATAGCATGTACACTGATAATAAAAATAATTTGTGTTAAAAAAATTCAGACTCCTGACTGTGGCTGGAATGAAGGCAAAAGAGAACAGTATACAAAAGATCACAATTTAGTTTTTCTAATCTTACAATAGGGAAAAAATATAACAAGAAACTTTTTAAAACAGAAATAATGGTGATGACCAGTAGACCAGTACAGTGAAATAATGAAGTTTTGATCAGATTTAACACAATGATGAAGGCTGTGATGATGCATAATGATACATAATGAAGAGGATGGTGATGACGATGACCGAAACATCTGATGGCTTGACATTAAAACTGCTCGTTAAACTCTGCCGCCTTGTTCAACCGACCACTCTTGGCATCTGAAATCGCCCCCCATAGATCAAACACAAAGTCGTCGGTGAAGCCAAATACTTGGAGATCCGATTCGTCCACTTTAATAGCAAAATCTGAAGGGTTGTCCACTTTGCTACCAATTTCCCAGATAGTTTGGGCTGTTTGAGAAGAAAACAAAAACAAAACAAATTAACAACATCAATGAAATAGGTTTCCTTAGAGAAAAATGCATCATAAAACTTTTTCAATCTTCAAAAACACCCAAATGTTCTACAACCAGAAGAAGGGAGGTGTAACATTAGTTACGAAGCTTCACTAAAGGCGCGGTATTATGAGAAAGTTCATTCTAATAGGGTGCCCATCATTCAGATGATTCGCTTTTATAAAATTGTTCTGAAGTACAACATGATCAACAGTACAGTCGAAATTGTGTAAGACGGCCACCCATTGTCGAGGAGAAAAGACACTGTGTCACTATCATGTAAAAAAAAGGGAAGAAGTGGGAGGTGGCTTCTGTAAAGGTGACTGTTTTACAGGCGGCCATTAGAGCAGTTTCAACAGTAGTTGATCTTTCCTGATGAACAATGACATACTTCACAAAATAGATAATCATCTGCAGTAAAAAAAAAAGTAAGAAATAAAAAGACCATGAATTGGAGCAGAAAATAATCGCATAGACAGACCTCCCCCAAACAACAAAACAAAAAATTAAAATATATAAATAAATAAATAAATAAATGAATGAAACCCAACTACCTCATCTAATATTTTCTACAAAGGATCTTACATAATTCGGTGTCGTTGATGCCCATGAAAGACTCCAGCAAGTTGTTGATCTTGTCAGTAGCAACATTAACAACATCATCCGGCTGTAGAAAAAGAAAACAGAAACAAGAATCAAATTGTACTCCCGTAAACAACTCATCGCCTTTATTTCAATGTTTACAATAGTAAATATTTACTTATAAATATTTTCTTAAGAACATGAAATGTTGGAGATCTGATTCATCCACTACAACATTTCACAACAATCCTAAATATGTAGAACTTATAAGTCAGAAGTAAGGATCTTTAAAATGACTTATACTTTCGTCCAACTTTTTAAAGAAGCACATCGACAAATGAAGATCAGAAAATGTTCAGGAATACTGACAGAACAATCCAAAATAAAACAATGTCGAAAAAGGACGTGTATACATCTTTTACGGGGTCCTATTTTTTTTTTATGTCTACTTTTGTCACTAACCTTATTCAAAAGAGAAAAATTAAAGAAACGGTGACAGTGAGAAAGATGTGCAAATACTACTCACAATCTCCCCATTCAATATGTCTACAAAGAGATAAAAAATTAAAGCGCCAAAGACAATCAATGAGAACGAAGTACAAATTCTACTCACAATTTCCACAGTAGCTGGTCCAGAAGAGCGTAACCTCAATGTCTGTTTCCCTGTGCCCAGGCTGCTGCTTCCCTTCTTGCCAGAGGAAGGTCCTATATTCGCTGCAAACAGACCAAGGTAAAGTCAACCATGTGCATAAGCAGGCAGAACCCACGAGAGAATCAAAGATAATATCCTTTCCTGCTAAAGTGTTTTTTCAAGTGTACACAATAAGGGCTAGCACGACAACAGTTTTTGGAGTCCATTTCGATTTGAAAAAGAAAAACAGACAGTAATGTTTACTTCAAACTCAATCACCAACAACTTTCCAGTTTCCAACACTGCTCTTAATAATTATAATGGGACAGTTATAACCGACAATATATACTTAAATTGACATCATTACGTTGTCTTATGAAACTTCATATTGTAAATTTCTGCCATGTAGCCAAAAACACAATAGATTCTATTAGTCTCCCTGATTTGAGGTGCAATTTTTATTAACAGCTACTCAAACTTCCCTCTTTCAGTCAAAAAATACCCCCCCCCCCAAAAAAAAAAAGTGTGCTAAGGTTGATATGACACACACAAATATAAAGGCAACATAAGCGAACCAGAAACACAAAGACGTCGACATACAAGGAGTGGCAGAAGTTTTCTGACTGTAGCAGAGAGAAGCACTGGAAGTGAACATTATTGGACACTTGACTATCGCACAATACTTTCCCCACAGATCTACAGTATGACATCTTAACAATAACGTGAACACAACTGATGCGAATATAACGAAGCCAGTTCATGGTAAGACGAATCAGGTGAATTCTGTAATGATATCCTGTGCTGATTACATGTGCATGTGGAATTTAACTTGGATGTGGAATTTAATTTGGACATGAAACCGAAAACACAACGATCCCACATACAGAACTTTTAAGTCCAAAGCAAAGATCTTTGAAATATGATTTTGAGCTTTTACTTAATTCAGACTTTTAAAGAAGCACACCAACACAATATAGGTCAGAAAATGTAAAGGAATAATAAGAACAGTCCAAAATAACACAAGACTGAAAAACAAGCCTTACTGTATCTTCCATCCCCTCCCCCAAACCACCAACATCAAAAGTACTATTCTTTGTCTTTAACAAGCTCAATGCCCCACTAGACAGAATATATGTCAGTTTGCAGACAAAGCACTTGATCTAAATATATATGGCTCACACTTGAAACCAAATATTCTAGGAAAGACAACTGATCTTGACACCCAGTCCCAAACCCCTGCATTCTAGTAAAGTAAATAGACTGTGACAGCAATAGGGAATCAACTCTTTCAATATTGACACTAAAGTTTAGTCCTGTATGGTATGGGCCAACCCCCCCCCCAAAAAAAAATATAGTGAGCTTAAGAAATACAGAATAGCTTTAAAAAAACTAAACAACCAAACCCAAGAAAACCCAATTTACAAATTCAACCTGGGCTATCTGCTACAAAGTCAAGCATTTACAACAACTCAGTTTTAGTTTTAGTAGAGGTTTTACGGCGCTCGCAACTGCATAAGCTCATATGAACGCCAGAAGATTAGGTGTTACAATAGAGTAACAATCATAAAAAAGAAGGGGAGATCAGGATGATAGATGTTCGATAGGAAAGAAGGAGCAAACCCCACCAGAGCACCCACCAACAACTCAGCTACAGCCTAGCCCAAAGGTAATAACAAATGAACAAGTTTAATGACTGATATCACACAAAGAGCTAGCACTAAAGAAATTAAGATAAGATACCCATCTCTTCCTCGCATAAGCAAATCAGTAGAAAAGGTAACGAGAATAAATCCACATGAAATAGGTACAACATTTGACCAAGGACAACAATTTGGGAATTTAGATAATTGAAAAATAGATTCATGTGTCAGCAAATCACAGCACTCTTAAAGTGAATTCACGTCACATGTGAATCAAATGCACAAGAAAAAATTATTTCATCAAATTTACAATAAAAGTATTAAAACACACACGCACCTCATCCTTCTTAAACTAAAGAGGTCAAAGTCATCACATAATAATATCGTCTTCACAAACTATAATAAAACTGGATATCAAGTCACAGTGCAGCCTGGCATTACCCAGCAGAAAACACATGTTCTCAATAAAATAGAAAGAAGAGGCGACAAAGTAGTACAAAGAGAGTTAAAACAACAGTAAAGTCAAAAGCTCCAGACAGACAGCTGGTGCAACACGAAGACGTTTCTGCATCCCTGTGATTAGACCGGTCACGTCCAGCATCAACCAACACGTCAAGCATTGAACAGTATAAAACAAAACACTGGAAATGACAAACAAAACTTTACCAAACTCATCTGCAGCAAGTGGAAATAAAATTGTCAATAATTTCCACCAAAGACTTGCACTCTTTTCTTACCAAACAAAGAATGGCGGCTGTAACTCATCAGCTCAGAATGAACTTCGACAGAGCACTGATATTTTTAAAAATATAACTAGCCACATTTATTCCAAAATACAAAACTGTAGCGTATGACATGGCAAAATGTTAATTAATGTATTCTGCCACAATACATACACATTCATCTCTGTGATAGGATGATATTCTCTATGAATAAAGAAGTTTGAAATATGATTCACTACTACCTCAATGAGCTGCCTTATTATGTGTCCTCAAATAGAGTAAGAAAAAGCTATCAAACTTTATGTTGAAACTTTTTATCTTCATCACTTGACTTTTTTCAACATCTGGTTATCAACTTCCCTAACGTAGAAAAAAAAAATTACTGAGCTTCAAAATAATAAAATTATTTCTTTCTCTGAACTTACAGTTGTTCAGAACAGACAGAGACAGTAAGTCTAGACACGAGGAACAGAACATTAATCAACAAACTGCAGTTGCCATAGCAACAGCTTCCGGATATTTCATAAACAAGAACAGAAAATAATTAAGGCAGGAGAAATCATTAATTGTTTCCCTTTAGCTGACCTCATCAGACCCAACGATCTGTTCACCTGTCCGTTTAGCAGCCCCACCATTTATGCTCACAGCTTTGAATGCCAGTCAGAGGAATCCCAGACACCTAAGACCCTTGGAGATTTTTATTTTATTTTAGCATTCCATTTTCATGGAAGTCAAACCCCATGAAAACTACAGATCAAAAAAAAAATGTTGAGTTTGAATAAAGAGAAGCACATCAACAGATGGACAGTCATTCAATGACTGAAAGAGAAAGACAGACAAACTACAAGAAAGAAAATATAATGCAGTAGCAGTAGTACTAGCAACAGTAAAAAGTTTAGTTTCAGAAAGAGTTTTACGGCACTTGAAACCCAGTTAGGTCGTATAAGTGCCGAAGATTAGTGGTGTTAAAAGAGAGTAACAAACACAAAAAAGGAGGAGAGATCAGGACTATAAATTTTTAATAGGAAAGGAGTAAACCCGATAAGAGCACCTGTCAACCACCCACCAACAGTTAAGAACAATCAAGAAATTTTTTAGGGGGGCTCCCACAGCAATCATGAAGAGCCCATGAAAATACAATGACTTAAAGTCGTGTCAAAAATTTTCAAGAAATAAGATCATCATCATGAAAGTGCCAGATCTGCAACAGACACCAGGAATCATAGTTCTCAAAAAAGATAAATGATCCTAATATTTCCCAATCACCCATCTGTTTAGGATTTTCAAGTAAGTTGCTCTGGGTCTACCCCTGCCTCATTTGCCTTTATTTTTACCAATTAGAGCTAAATGTTCAAGGCTCTTATGTCTATTCAAGTGTCCCAGAAAGTGCAATTGTCTCTTCCAAACTGTTTTTATCGAGTGACTCATGTGGGCTTCTTCAAGTAATACCTCATTTGATTTCTTTTCCATCCAAGAATAAATAATTACAAAAATGTCTCGCAGGATCCACCAGTAAAATGGACAGGTATAGATGAAAATTCGGGATTTCAGCACATATTATTGAAATTCTCTGGAACCCCCCACAAAAAAAAAAAGAGAAGAGCATCTATGGATAACCCTCAAAGAATACTGGAAAATATTGTAAGAGTCAAGATTCCTATTTAATGCTGAAAAAAAGGGACAGAAACTAGCAGGAAGAGAAGAGACGGACCTACCAGAAGCACCCGCCAACCACTTGCTGGGGAACAGTTTTGAAAAAGACAGAAGAAATTTTTTTTTTAATCTGAAGAAAGTCCTACACTCCCACCATCCATCCACACATTTAATTAAGACTTTACTTAAGTTATTGGCAAAGCTCAGGAGTGCAATCATCACAAATTTATAATTAATATTTGCATGTACAAACAAGAAAAAAAAATGTTCTAGTCAAGTGGTCATCGAATAAACAGAACAGCTCTTTTGTGTCCATTTTCAGCCTCACAATGGAAAAGTAGAAGCAAACTTTCCCCACAAACTAGGTTTGATAGTTTTTTTTCCTCCAAAATGAGTTCTACTGAGCCAAACTCTCAGATGACACAACAGACAGCACATCATTGCCTTTAAAAAACTTGGGACAAAAATGACATTTGAAACCAAGCTCCTTCTCCTTCCTTCCCCCAATCCCCATGATATCCCAAATCCCTTGAGCTTCAAAACAGTGACAAATATAAATAGACAAAGATTCTTCAGCTATCTATAAATCCATCATCGTTGAGATGTACTTTACAGAAAGTCAGCATGATAACAACTACTGTATGCCAGGAACAAAATCAGAATAGGGACAAAACACTAACCAGGAAAAAGAACAGACCACATCAGAGCATCCACCAACCACCCATAAAAAGTATAGCAATGATTAAACCATTATCGCAATACTTCCAAGATTAGCTGTGAGACATAACAGCCCTCACCCATCCCCTTCAGTCAAACGTGAAGTGTCTTCATTTAAATCTATGTGCCGTTCCAATACTTTTGTATTATTTGCACCCTCACACACACCCCCCCCCCTCCAAATGTCGTGCTGGGGACGTATGTGTGCACTCTCTTATCTCAGACCTCTGTTTGTGGAGACAAACTAATAGCATCTCCCCACACCTAAACCAGTTTCCGTTCAACAGGTAAAAGAAAGTTAAAATATTTTCCATCAATGGTATAAGTTTTTGTTCACATGAACTTCTACTCTGTGCACTTGTAGGAAAGTTAATAAATGAACTACAAAACGGATACGCCCAGTAAGCTTTAATAATAATATAATAAAAATTTTATTTAAATGAAAAGTAAAAGTAACTGGACCGTTTTTAAAAAGTTGAAATTCAGTAGGCCTCTATTCAGTCTTGACCCTTCAAACCAAAAAAAGAAAATTTATGGCAACTGATAAGTAATTGAAAAGTAAAAGCATAAAGTAATTTTTTATATATATTTGCAAAAACTCTCCCTCTAAACAGAAAACTCAAAATAATGTATAAAACCTTCACTATAGAGCTATTAATTATTCACCTTGATTGCTAGAGGACATAAAGTCTTTTCAATACAGTTTTTTTTTTTATATTTGTTGGTAGTATCATTCCATGTCAGGAACATTGTCAAAATACACCTTTGGAGATAGACAACACAAAAGAGAAGTGCAAATTGTCCCTATACTGTAAGGCTATAAGAGGGTCTGCTCCAGAAGCCTGGTTTAACATAAGCCACATGTGGTAACAGTAATACATGTGTATTTTCCCCCTTGTCAGATGTATTTACAATACCATCATCATGGTGAGGCGTAAAATACTTGAAAAGTAAGTGATAAGATTCTCTTTGACGTCAACCCCGGTGAAAAACACACAATCGAATTACAACAACTCACATGAGCACACGCAGGCTTTCACGGGCAGCCCCTGAAAATCCTTTCTTTACAAAAGGATTTCTAAGTAAACAATGAGCAAAGAGTCTGTTGAGTACAACAAGGAGTGTTTTCTTCCATCCCTCAACAAACGAATCACTATGCATTAGTCACCATCACATCTCTGAAGCTCCCTTCACATTAGACACAGTGTGTTTAAAATAGGACACAGAATGTGTCTAAAGAACACAGGTTCCATCCTTAAAGAACATCTAGCTAATTTTTTAACCCCTTATCTCCTTTCATGTTGACAGGAAAGGAACGTGCCTTTTTAAGAACCATAACCCAGAACTCAGGGACCCCCACATGGGTAAAGCCCCCTCCAGGCCATCCATGTTTGCAGAAAATGTTTAAGGTTAATTGCTCAAATATTGAGAGCCTGTGCGGAAGAGGGCAGACACACGAAACATAAAACAGCTGCAGACCTGCCCAGTCTAAATAGAATCATCCATCCACTGGTTTCCAACAAAATGACACTGTGACATCTCTGAGAACACATGTACCATCTTTCTCCCGCAAAAAGATAACCGGCAGCAAGTCAGTCTAAAAATGACAGACACCCCTCTTTTTTCCTTTCTGTTGCATAAAAATTACAGTCATATATAATATTATCATTCTAAATGACATACACTGTTAATTCTTGGCTTCAGTCTGGTCACTGATAAAAGTACATGAAAGCGCTAATTGATGTGAAGAGCTTCAACACTGCAAAAACTCGTATGTACATGTCAAATTACCACCGTATTTAGTGGTCTATTTCTCCCTGTTCCCTCCATCCACAGCTAGTGTAGGCAACATACAAAGTTGAATTTTCTTGTGTAAATTTGTTCTGGGCAAACAATCTACTTGAAAATGGTGATTCTTATATGCATAGTCAACAACAAATTGTGAATGGTTATATAATATATGACCTACAAAAGTGCGTTACATATTTACAAACTTATGCACTGCCAGCACCATAACGCCTCACAAAGGACACATTTGTGTCTGAACAACACTGATTAAATTTCAAACTCAATCATAGTCAACTATTCCAAAAGGTTCTTTCTGGTTCTTAAGCCAAGGTGATGGGGAAGGGGAATGGACGATATCAGCAGTCCATGCATAGAACTGAGAGAAAACTTTAGCACAAACGCACACACAAGCAAAAAAAAGATAACGCACACACGTGAAAATTTATCCGTTATTTTATATTATGGGTTTCAAAGTAGATCCAGCCAATATTTTTTAACAATCTTGAAATGGCAATCACGATTTTGGACTTGCAGACAAAACAATATCTTTTTTTTTTTTAGTAAGAGTTTTACTGCACTTGCAACACAACACAATAAGGTCATATAAGTGCCGAAGATTAGAGGTGTTACAAAAAAGTAACAAACATAAAAAAGAAGGAAGAGAGATCAGGACAATAGATGTTTGATAGGAAAGAAGGAGCAAACCACACCAGAGCACCCGCCAACCACCCACAAACAATTTCTCTAGAAACTTGAATTTCACAGAGTTTACATAAAGAATAGCAAGCACCCTGTAACAGAAGAAGTACCTGCACTTGGAATGTATAAAGAAAAAAAGACAGAGTTTTTTTAATGAAAGATCTACAATCCTTTCCAAAAAACAAACTGCACCTCATAGTTAAACATGCGATACCTTTTTAGACTGAAAACATAAAACACGATACAATTCGCACTTCAATTGAAAGACCACCAAAGTAAATCTAAACTACAAAATCCCCAGGTCTTGTTCAGAAGTAAACTGCCTGATGCACTTTATTTCTGAGACAGAAACATGTTCATCGTTTCACTAAACGTACCCTGTAATTTTAAATAGAATTAATCATATTAATAACAGTACTTTGTGAAAGAAAACAAATTGCAACCATAGTCCCACAATAAATTACATAGTTATTGCTTTAAAACAAAAATTATTGACGAAGGTAGTCACATTTCTATTTATCCAACTGGAAAGTTGTCTGAAAACAAACCTCAAGAGATAATATTCCTTTTTCAACATGAGAAGAATATTTGGAGCCTGACTAAAAAAATTACAACAAAATCATTTCATGATAGTGCCCGTAGACAGCAGGTTCTACATTGTGTAAAAACAACACAAACACACAAGTACAGAGTAAACTGTCCCACACCTCATTACCATCATGTACACTAGAACTGTGCAGATACGTTTAAGAACAAAAATTAAGAGGATTAAAACCCAAGACTATTTGTCAGTGGAAACTCATAGCACATTAACAGTGATTGTTTATTGCAATGATGACTAGTTAAAGAATGCCTGGGTACACAAAACCCTCCCTTGGATAAATCAGCACCACCGTATGTTGACCATATTTTTTTCCTAATTCATTAGGAACTGACTTAAAGTTATGAGGAAGAAAAGGAAAGAACCCATCAGAAGAAAATGTTGCAAAACCAAGCAACACTAGCATACTTAGTAACTATCAACTGACAGACAGATAGTCAGGTAATCCCATGCGAATACCAAACATCCACCATTACCCGCGCTTTTTTTTCTGATTTCAATATTAAGGTATAATTCAATTAATCCTCAGAGCAGTCAAACAGTATCTTCACTTTCTGACTTAACGTTTCAAGAGAGTTTTCCACATTTGTAGCCAGAATTTCTTCACATTTACACAGATAATCAAGGCAACTTGGAAACATTTTGGAAAAATAAAATGTGCCCCATATTCAACACTTTGTCTTCACCGTGAGCCGCAAAAAGGGTGTTTAAATGAAAACATGTTCTGTTTATCATGTATCTCTGGATACTCAATAAATCAATTTCAAAACAGATGAGAAAGAAATTCCAGTGATAGAGTTCTGAAAAGCACAAGCCTCGACTCAAAAATACAGTACATTTGGCATCGGTGGCCTAGTGGTTAGGCTACCGGACTCAAAATCGTGAGGTTGCGAAGGGTTAGAGCCACGGGCCCGACATTGTGTCCTTAGGAAAGGCACTTTACAGGAATTTTCCTCACTTCATCCAAGTGGGAATTGGTACCCGGCCCATAGATAGCAAAAGACCTTGTTTGTGGTGTTTTAGTGCCTATAAATGGCCGCCTGCACTGTATGCTTCCCTGGAAGTTGAGTTTGTTTCAGAATTCTCTCAAGTGTGCTGGGGTAATAGTATAGACTATAGATTGCAAAGCGCACAGAGCTTGCTGTTGAGCGGGGATTTGCCCTCACAAAAGATTCAAAACAACTGGCTACAAAAAAAACAGTGGCGAGAGAGGTTTCAAGAGGCAAGGGTTCTTGACAAACCACATTTCTTAGAGCTAAAAAAAAACCTAAACTCTCAATGAGAACGAATTATTTCCAATCTAGAAAATTTATGTAAAAAATTTAGCTTCGGTCAAACACTCTTAAGAGTATGCGATAAAGAGAACAGATTCTCACAGCAGATAGAGGGAGAGTGTGCTAAATAAAATGAAGAACATTTTTTACAGCAGAAGATTATCATCACCAGTTAAATGTTGTCTCCCTTTTAAAGCTAAATTTCTATTTCCACCAAAACACAGAACATCAAATCTGAATTATAAATCATGATGCTAGAAACACATAAAGTACACAATGGAAACAGGCAACTAAAGCTCAAAGAAACACAGAACAGAAAAAGTAAAGCATACTTACAAAAACCTGATTTCATTGGTTCCACTGTCCGCAGTGTAAAAGTTGTTCCTTTGGGAATTTCTTTTAATTTCTTGGCCACTTCAAAGTGCCGGCAGCCCACTAAACTTTCTCCATTGATTTTCTCGATGTGGTCACCAACAGCTATCAAGGGTACATTGTCCATTATACTACCCTCCTTGATTCTTTTAATGAAGGCATAGCCTGCGCCATTGTCTGTGATGGTCAAGCCCAAGGCATCTTCCGACTTTGTCACATCCACTTCTTTCGGCTGACCTTTGACATGAGCAAAAATGAAGTCCTCCAGCCCAATCTGTCCCCCAAGAAGCCTGGTCATGTCAACCTTGTGTGTGTTTAGGGTGCAAAATAAAATCTGTGGTCCAAAAACAAAAAAAACAAATTAGTTAATCTTGTCAGTGGCTTTGAGATTAAATAATTCACATTATAGGATCTGAATCATTGGCCTAGTTTAGATAACTGCACTGAAAAATTACACGAGAATGAACTAAAAAAATGTATGAACTGTTGTCAAGTGCTTTTTTGGGTTGGAAAGACGTGAATGAGTATATTATAAAATATATATGATCGGTCAAAAATAAGCACCGTGGCCATGTAAGACAAAAACTGTGTGTGTGTGTGTGTGTGTGTGTGTGTGTGCGTGCGTGCGTGCGTGCGTGCGTGCGTGCGTGCGTGCGTGCGTGCGTGCATGCGTGCGTGCGTGCGTGTGTGTGTGTGTGGTGGGGGTGGGGGGGGGATTTTTATTTTAAGAGTGAAATTAATATACACACATTAGAGTTAGTTTAGTGTGTAATATTGCCCTTTTCTCTCATTGGAATAGAAATCAACCAACATATTTTCAACAGAAGGAATAAATCTTTTTTTCTCAAATTAATAGCTTGTCAGCAGTTGACTTGAACGGTAAACATTGATCACTCCGTTAAGAGATCAGAAAGTGTACTGGTTGGCACTGGATGTCAATGTTAGTTAGTATAGTATAGGGCAAAGCAAATGATGAACATAACATGCATGTGTGTGCTTTTCTGAAACAACAGTAACAGTTGCAGTAGCTGCCTACCGATTCAAGTTCAAGTTACAGACTATAAAGTTAAAAAAAAAGGCCGGCTCTATTTCTCCGAACGCTCGGGAAAATAAACTTGAACTTTATTTCTCCGAACTGTTTCCGTTCAGGAGATTTGTTTCCGATTTGTCGATAATTTGCGAATGGAGTGGTCCCTTGCGCATGTGTGTGTGTGGTGTGTGTTGGGGGTTTGCATGAAGGATTTTAGTTTTTGCTTTAGGTGTGACTAAATGCAAAATAGGTTACTGCCAAGGTCAAGCTCTTGTTTTCTCGCATTACCTTTTGAACACATTTTCAAATGAAGTAGTCAGGGAACATTGCCCCAACCATAACTGAAGTATCTGACTATTCAGACATTTAAAAATCTCTAGCACCTCTCTAGAAATTGACTTCGATACAAAAAAATGCTTCTTCCCAGTCCTAGCAGAATGGCATAAAATGAAAAATGACGCCTAAATCTCACTAATAACCCAAAAATCTCTAGAACGGAAACCGTTTGGAGAAATAGAGATCAAGTTTATTTTCCCGAGCGTTCTGAGAAATAGTCACAAGGAAAAAAAAACTGTCACCACTTCATGTGTTTTTCTGGTGCTGAGGCTTTGATAACTGTATTTATACAGCCTTTCACTATTGTGATGTGTTGTCAATGATAATGTCCAATGTGTATCCTTTCTTGTACATAACAATGATGACATGTTCTGTGCACTGCGTCATTGTTACAATGCTTGTCATTCATATTACCATTATGAATGAAGTTCATAGTGTACAATGTGTTTGTTTACTAAACAAAGGGAATTTAAAGTCTATAATTTGCCTTGCTGCTTTTCTGTTTTTGTCAACACTGTTACATACAAAAAATACAGTGGTTGCCAAACCAATAGACCCATATCTCCAAAACCCTACATCTCCTTGCTCTGATACTTTAGGAATATGAGCTCTAAAAATGTCAATCTGAGACTGACAGAAAAGGGAGTCAAATTGGTAAGAAAAAAATTTTGGAACCACTGAGTCTCAAGAAAGTCTCACATTTTGGCAATTGCTCATATTAATACCATTGCAGCCATGATCACAAAATCACAGGAAGGACTTTCGTAACGAGCGACAACCCAACTAACAGTTCTAGTTCATAAAGAAGAAACCTAACCCTAACCCTGACCCAACTCTCATTTATAAATATTTCTACCCTGTTTCATATAGTGGTCGCACGTTACAGAATTCCTCCCTCACAGATTATCCACTCACTGAAAGGCTTAAAATTTTTATAAAACTGCCTTGTTTTCAAATGGGTAAACATCCTGTCCTTTGGGGTCATTATGGGTCAATTTTATACAGTTTTGAAAGGTACGAGTCACAGCCAAACACAAGCCAGAGTTCAACTCCTACTCCCTACAATATTGTGGGTAGCCTAGGCCTAAATTTTTACTTGCAATCATGCACACAGATGCATTGCTTTAGAGGATCAATATTAGCCATTCTGACTGTCAGAACACACACGAGACATGATCCCTTACCTAAAATGTAGTAAAACCAACAGTTTTAATTTTTTTTTCTAATTACACAAGTTTCACTAGAAATCTAGATCTAGATCTATCTAGATATAGATAATTTACGCCTCTACTCTATATAAAAGATAATTTGCGACAGAAATTAAAATTCATATGCAGGTAAGTGGCTATCCTCACCCGGGGTGAGAATAAAAATACGATCTACCTCTCACCCCGGGTGAGACTTGCCAGCGTTGGCTATTCTCACCCGGTGTGAAACAAGACCTGTTTTTCCTCATTTCGGAATACTGTCTGTGTGGATGATGAAAGTGATAAAAGCCAAGGAAAAATTACGTTATAATAGCACAAAAGTAAGCTAATTTGATAGTCGACAAAGATGCTATATGGCTATTTCACTTTTCTAATCGAAAGTGGCTATTCTCACCCGCCCGGAAGTTCTCGCAAGATCAACTCCTCCCCTCTTCTCTCTTTCTCTGTCTCTTTCTGAATACTGTCTATCGGTGTGGACGATCAAATTGACCAAAACAAAGTTAAAATATGATATTAAAACACAAAGTAAATTAATTTGGTTGTCTACAAAGATGCTACGGCTATTTAACTTTTCGAATCGAGCCGAACTACGCGGGTCACCATTTTGTTTTGCCCGGAAGTTCTCGCGCTACTCCTCTCTCTCTCCCTCTTTCTCTCTCTCTCTCCTCTCCACTGCCCACAGACAAAATTGAACGCTTTTAGGCTAACAGTAGTAATGGAACGTTTGTTCATGGCACAGAATTCTGCAATTCTGTTATCACAGTGTAGAATTCTGTGGTTCAGGGTGAACGCTACACTGGTTGGCCTAGACTATAACGGTGAACGCACACTGGGTGAGAAAAGCCAAAATTGAAAAGACTCGCCTGAGGTGGCCAAAATGTGAAAGGGAAATACAAAACCTGAGCAAGAGAAGAGGGTGAAAGTAAAGTAATACCCTGATAATGGTGATAAAAAGCTCCAGACTCCCTATCGTACCTCTAGATCTAGATCCGTCTGATCTACCAAGACTCAAGACGAGGCCTAGCCTCCTAAACTAAACTCACCTCTGATACATCCAAATCATAGCAGTCTGCAATCTTTTGATACAACTCTTTCACGTTTGTGAATCCAGAGATAATTCCAGTGGGGCTGCCATGAGCCTGCTGACAGTGAAACACAAGCTTGGGTCTAGGAGGCTGTGCTGGTTGTGGTGGTTCAACAGACGACCTGGTCACTTTGGATCCACCGTTGGCTTCATTACCTGTTGATGTATCGTCTGGGTGGGGCGGGTCAGCAGCATTCTGATTCTGTTGCACGGAGTCAGCGATGTTTTCGCTACTTTTGTTTTTCTTACCGAAAAGACGAGGCATTATTGTTTAGTCAGTTACGAGAAACACTTCAAAAACAGTCACTGGAGTTTCCCAGAACAATCCTTGTGGAAGGGCACCCAAATGTGGTTCAAGTGGAACGACAGTCAAGAAGAGATCTGTGTCCGCACATCGAGTCGGCAAAATGGCGGATGATTCAGGAAGTCAGGAAGTGACGTCAAACGACAGGTAAAAATCCCAGGTGCCGGGAGGGCGGGGTCATACGCAAAGTAAAGTAAGAAGAAGCGACTGTAATACTCAGGTGTGTCAATACGTTCGTGGCTTTGTAACGTACAGAGCAGAACCAAGCTAAATTTTAATTTCATCCTAATATCTCTTCTCTCATTTCCATTTTTAGATCCCTTTATTCCTTGTACGCGTGTCTGGGGACCTCCGTGATTAGGCCTACTACTACGACGAATTGCCAGGTCGTATGCAGTGGTTGAACACGATGAATGATAATATAAGTGCACCCACTCACGTCGCATTCCGTTGCAGTGTTTGCTCTTTACAAGGGAAAAAAAGGACAACCTGTCTTCTTTTGGCTCTGTTTGAGGGCTTCCTATTTGATAAGGGTGCGCAGTCTAGTTTGTTATACATAGCCGTTCTCTCGGCGTAGTAAAGTGGTTATGTCATCAAGGCATGGCAAACCTTGGAGTTAGGAGGGAGTTTTCACCTTCATGCCTTGCAAGGAAATGTTCAGGATGAGAGGCAGAGGGGATTGGGGAGAATCAGAAAAGATGAGGAGCGAAGTGCGCATTTTATAATAACATAGGCTTACTTCGGGTAAAATTTTAATGAAGAAAGAATTAAAACATTGTTTGTCTAGGGTATGAGAATGAGATACATTATAAGCTGAGGGAGTGGTAGATCTGATGTTACTTATAATTTAGTAACATACTTCAGATGAAATGAAGAAAGGATGAAGACATTATGATAACACTATGTCTTAGATGGAGAACATGATGCTTATACTTTTATAGTTTAAAGTAGTAAATGAGGAAAAACTGAACGTTTTAATCATCCAGTTAGATGTATAAGTTACAGTGTGGAGATGCACTGGTGCAAATCTGTAGGTCTATGTTTTTTATTCTTGGAAACCGAAAATCCAATACTTCCTTGTTGTTTAGGAGAGGCGTTTATAAATGAAGTATTGATAACACAATAAGATTAACATTTTAATGCTATAGCTTCATATCAAGACTAAACACTCGGTGTATACAGTGTACATATTATGTGTTTTTATGTGTCTATCCTAGAGGTTAGTTCTCTGGGAAACTGGAAAGCATTGAAAAAAAACCTAGTGTCACGTTTTTCTGACATCAACGCAAAGTGTTTTTACAGTTTATATGATGATGATGAATACTACGGCTATGATGTATCAAAATATTATGTATTTTTGTGTCTATTCACACGGGTAGAGAATAGATTCATTTTTGGCCGTGAAAGTGTGTGTGTGTGTGTGTGTGTGTGTGTGTGTGT